GGTTAAACCTATTGGTAGCACGGTAGTATTTGCATTCCAGAATTTAGGTTGCTCTTTTGTGTACCCTACTTAGGTCAATGTATCTGAACAGTGTGATTGGACTAAAAATACAGTATCAACTGAACATACTTTCCCAAACTGGGGGATGAATCAGGTGTAGAGAAATATGAAATAATTTTACATACAGGTGAAAATGAATTTTTGAGAATTTTTTTAAATTTTGTATTCACTGTATGATAAAAAAACCTAAAAGCACTAGTGGCCTTAGGTTTTTAAAAATAGCAAAAAAAGTAAACGGTCATGATACATATTCAAATTTATTTCTGATTAGTATAATGAAAGTACTTCAGTTAACTGTGTATGTAGAATTTTTCGCAGTGCTAGAAAGTGGTGAAAATCCTAAAAAGGCTATCATTATCCCTTATGGGCCAGGAAATACTACCGTGCCACCTATTCAAGAGTTCAATAGAAAATAAAAATGTAATAAACAAGAAAAAGTGGAAAAGACTCTATGCTCCGCTCGCACTCTCCCATTGCCATGTTCAGTGAACCATGAAATTTTAATAAAAATCCTAATTTGGTATGAACATTTCGCTTAATAGTGAACATGTGTACACAGTTTAAAATTGATGTGGCCTCAGTCGTCCTCTATACAGACAGAACACTATTTATTCAACTTTGTTTTTACTTTAGAAATTGTGTAAGAATACTCAAGATGGATATATACACAAAAAAAACCAAACATTTACTTATATTCTGAGAAAAAAATTGTGACAGATAATGAATTAAAATAAGTGTTACTTGTGTTTATTTTCTTTTTTTCAAATTTATTGTAGCAGAGACATATACTAATTGGTAATAGCAATAAATATCCGAGATCGTATACACATTTTTTGAAAAATGCTTTATTATTTTATGTCTCAAAATGTCTACCATAAAGTTTTTATTGGTACTGTATAGTGTGTGTGTGAGGGAATTCGATGTTTGATATACAACGGTTCATTTCAACGCACTTTATGACAATACCACTATACCAATCAGAATGATTTTTTTGCAGTGTTTTAAGAAATGATTTTACTTTGTATCCATATATTATTTGTGAAACATTAAATGTTTTAAAAGGGCGATTTTTTTGTATAAAATCAATAATTATGTAGACTTTTGAAGCCCAAACTTTCTATTGCCTTAAATACGTACACAAATGAAAAATCCGAAAACTTTAACAATACAGAATGACATGATTTTGAAATTTTAGCAAAACTTTTGGTTGGCAAATTTTTATTCGTTATTACAAAATATGAACTTAAAATATCTGCCATTTTCTCCCTACCCAGTTTACCCTATTACCTTTTATGATGTGGACCGGTCATTGTTATTGAATATTACGCAATTTGATAGTATAATATAGTTTTATTCAGGCAAATTCAAGCACATATATAAAAATTCACAAGACAAATAATATATATATATATATATATATATATATATCAAAGTCTAAATTGAAGACAACGTTCAAACCTATGATTGCGTTGGATAAAAAACCGCAATTTTTATACGTGTGCATGCAAAACAAATTTCTTGTTAGAGGGGTCTAAATACAGCACAAACAACATTTTCCAAAAGACTAAAAAAGTGAAAAAGTATATTTTAACAAAACGCATTTGACTAACAGGTCGAACAACAAATGTTCTTAAACCCTGCTGACTGTCATTGGCGATTGCCAAATAAACGGATCACCGATGTAATAAATGGATCTTACATAGTATAGCTTATTTCCAATGGGGTCCCATGTTTGAAAATATATAAAAATAATATTTCAAATTATATGTTAAAATTTGACTTTCACAAAAAAAAAAGAATGATCAATTGTTTCTTAAAAAAACATATAAAAAATCTCCAGTTTCTATATTTCTTGCTGTTATTTTTAATTGCTCTTTAACTGCAGTCTTAAAAGCAGATCTATTTGATATATTTTTTATGTTGGCTGGTAGATTGTTCCAGTCTTGTATAGCATTATAAACAAAGCTGTTTTTATTACAGTTTTTAACATTTGGTACAAAATAATTATTATGAGCAGCACTTCTGGTATTATGATTATTCAAGTCAAAATGTTCACATAATACTCTGGAGCATATCCATGATATATATTGAATACATGGTTTAATCTTAAGTTGACTAACTCTATCTTTTACACATAACATATTAACTTTATCTAAAATATCACATGTAATATTCTAGTCCTTGGACACAGACCTAGGATGAATCTCACCACCTTATTCTGTACAACTTGCAATTTTTTTGTCATCCCTTTGCCCAGACTACTATACCACGAAGAGCAAGAATAATCGAAATAGCATTGTATCAGAGCAGATGTGAGAGTCATCCTTGATCTAGTATCCAAACATTTGGCATTTCTATATACAAATCTTAATCTTGCATTAACTTTTTTTATGATATTGAAAACTATTTGTTCACAATTTAAAAAATTATCAATGTGAACTCCTAAATATTTGACAAAATTTGTCGATTTGATAAGGTGATCATGACATTTGACCTGAAAATTAATATTTTGTCTAATCTTTTTTTGGAGGTCCGAAAAGCATACATTCAGTTTTTCCTAGATGTAAAGACAGTTTATTATCTACTAACCAGTCTCAACATTTTTCTAGAACTTTCCCAATTTTGTAGAACTAATATCTGGATTTTATGAGTATATAAAATAGCGCTATCATCAGCATATAAAATTAATCTACAGTCTTCATCAATACTGATTGACATATCATTTATATGTGTTAAAAATAACAGCGGTCCAAGGATACTTCCTTGGGGGACACCACATGTGACTTCCATGGGTTCCGACATAACATTATTCAAAGATACAAATTGAATTCTATCAGAAAGGTAATTAAGATCTAAACCAGTCTACAGATTGAACACCCATAACTTCAAGTTTTGAACATAAAATATTGTGGTCGACAGTGTCGAACGCTTTTTGTAAATCTAACATAATCATTCCTGTATAACTACCATTTGGGTTATTTGTTCTTATATAATCTAATAAATGTATAAGACATGTATCAGTGCAGTATTTACCTCTGAAACCTGATTGAAATTCAAATAACAATTTGTTTTTTCCTAAAAACTCTGATTGGTTAAGTTATTATTAGTTTACCTTCAAACTGTTAAATTTTACCATACATGTATATTGATTAAATCAGAACGTGCATGACTGTGTACAGTAACTTTTAAAAATGGCCTTCAAACTGGGCATTGGACGAGTCCATATTATTTTTTAACAATGAAACTAAAGGTATGAACGGTAAGAATTGCCACTTCTTATATTTTCACAAAAATGTCCACATATACAGAAGATAAATTATTTTTTAATAGCCTATTCCCGAGAAAATTTACAAATCAAACGTTCTATTCCATCAAACAAGTCTTTTTTCGAAGAGAAAATCAAATGCCGAAATTCATTTTACGCACGGCCACGCTAGGTAAAATTATTGTAAAAAAAAATTCAGTCTCCGGCATTATAATGTTATATATAATTACAATTAATCCCAAACAAAAATAGTCAGTAATTAAATGAAGTCAAAATATGTCCGATCTGCCTATTTTTGGACATCAAGATTCAATACGATCGTTTAACATGTTTTAAGGTCAATTTCGTCTACCTCACAAAATCTTATTAGGCACTATAGTGAATCGTCACAAAATTTCCAATGGTCAATTCATTTTTCAAAGATCAAAGTGTTCATTGTATATCTGGATTCTAAAAATGTTTTAAAAGTTAAATTGGCCATATACAATTATAATGCGAACTTTTCCATAGTATCCCACAAAACAAAAGTTAAACATGACATAATGAATCTAGCAATGACTAATAATTCAGAAAGGGGTACCCCAAGGTTCAATCCTCGGACCTCTATAATTTAATATTTTTATAAATGACACATCCTATTTTATTGAAAATGGAACCCTATATAAGTATGTTGAAGATGATACTCTGCTATATGCTGACAACGATTTTCAAAATTTATTATGTATACTTGAAAGAGAAAGTACTGTTTTAATTGATTGGTTTAAATTTAATTATATGCAGGCAATTGAAATCCTGATAAATTCCAAGCCATTGCAGTAGGAAATAAAACATTTGCAAAGAAGCCGGTTTTTAATATTATACAGTCAGCTAAAATATCATGTGATAAGATTGTCGTATTAGGTATTGATATTGATTATCATCTTAATTTTAATTACCACATTAAAAATATTTGTCGTAAAGCGTCTCAACAACTGAATGTTTTTAAGCGCATTGGTTGCTATCTTATTGAATTAAATAAACTTACCATTTTTCACACATTTATTTTATCTAATTTAAATTGTTGTCCTTTGGCGATGGCCTTTTTTGCAACAGCAATAATACCACTAAATTAGAAAAAAATCAGAAACTCATACCACGTACATCTTCTTATTCATATGTTAGTTCGTATGATGAATTACTAGTACGAGCAAACTAAGGTTCCATCACTGAAAATTAGACGTATGCGTAACCTGGATCGGATGGTTACATGGCGATCCATGTCTATATTGAATGTTTCAAATTTTATATAAATTTTCACCACCATGTCATTGCATGTCATTAGTGGATCCAAGGGGGGCCCCTTTTGTGGGAAAAATTTGGTTGATTTTATAGGGAATCACTGAAGCATGACTGGAGCCCCCCTCCCCTTATGAAAAGTTCTGGATCCGCCACTGCATGTATACATGAAGTTTAGTAGTATTGAAAGATTGTATATATAATTTTTGATATTCTAAATGTCCCGCGTGCAATTTTCTGTTAAAACGTTTTGAAATCGATTTTCTTATTGCGTTAAACATGTTTACTTGTTTGTTCTTTTATTATTTCGTTTTAATTTATTTCCATAACCTGGGACTAGTATACTCACGGCAGCCGTTACACCAATCAGTGAACTCAACATCACGGACGTTAGAACGAGACTTTACCTGCGCGTGATTTGCCGATTCGCCATATTGTTGACAAATGTCAGCGTGCATTGATTCTTGTAAGTTAATTGTATGTATACTTTATTGAAAAGATAATTCTTTATGTAGATATGAGTATTTTTATGAGAAAAGATATATCTCGATAATTGTCAGTTGTTAGTATTATCACCAAACCCCGCCTACAATGTAAAAAATTACTTGTTCAGGTTGATTTTAAGGTTCATTATAACAAATGGACAAAAATGGCTGTGTTTAGACCTGAAAAACTACTCTGAGAACAGACTATAACCTGTGCAGTTGGAAAAGTTTTAAGGCCTGACATCCACTAGATATATAAAAGTTAAATGCATTTTGTGTTTCAGAAAGATAAAATATTTTTTTTTCGTTCCTGCAGAAGGTGTAAAAATAAACTAAGTTGGGATACAACTTTGAGATGTCCCTCTCAGGTAACAACTGTATTGCACTGTATTGATTGTCCTTGCTTGGCATGGACAATAGACAGACAATAGATATTTACACAACTGCACAACTACAGGTGTCAGAGTTAAAGGGTGTAACTGAGTGGAAAGTATCAAATGCAATTCACTGAGGTGTTTGTTTATTTTTACACCTTCTGCAGGAACGAAAAAAAAGCCCATCAAAATCCAAAAAAGATTTTAATTTTCTGAAACACAAAATGCATTGAACTTTTATATATCTAGTGGATGCCAGGCCTTAAAACTTTTCCAACTGCACAGGTTAGCCTGTACTCAGAGTAGTTTTTGAGGTGTAAATACAGCCATTTTTTTTCCATTTGGTATGATGAACCTTAAAAAGCAAGTGGATGGTGTGAAAAAAAAGATGCTTCATAAAAATGTCTAAAAACTTTTGATTGAAAAGTTACAAAAGATATACGTGATTTCGGTCTGTTGTAAATTCATATTTATATGTTTTAGGTTGTATACTGGCCATATTTTTTATTGTCATTTTTAGAGTGAAAAGCGGAATACATGTATCAATCTCTTTTTCATTCCAACAGGAAGCCACAAAGAAATTTATTTAGTGTTCCTATAAAATTGCTAAGAGAGCAACCATTTAACTTCCAGTGGAGGGGGTTTATGGTTTTTTGTCAGAAAAAAATTTTCACACTACATTTTTTAGTTTTTCGACACTATCAATCAAATTATTTTTTTCACAATTTAACACTATTATGATTTATGGGGAAAAGGATCTCCTGTAGTTGGTGATCGCAATACTGGTATACCAGTATGTGTGACAATATGATGGGCTTCAAAATATATATATATTTATATATTCTTAATATGTTTAATAAAATTCATTGAATAAAATAACACACGGAAATATCTATCAAGAAAATTATACAAATAAGTTTTAGACTGATTGTTTTAATTCAAGGTTAAGATTACATATAAATATAAGTACATGTACACATGTAGGCCATATGCTGACATGTAATCCTGTAATAACAATTAATTAATGAACTGGACATACGCAAGATTCACAACTATAAATTGTCCAGATTGGTAAAAACATGTCAATTAAAGTCAGCTTGATAGATATTCATCTGTGTATCTTTAAAATAAAAACTATTATTGTCAAAGTAATAGAAATTTTGATAAACTGTTATATTCAAATGAAATTGTATATAAACTATTGCTTGTACTGTTAGAGAGAGACCGTCCTTTATGGACACTGGTCCAGACCGGCTTGAATAAATTGTTCTTCCAAATAACCTTGTGTTGTGTTACATATGCACAATACTGGTATAAAAATTTTGTACCAGTATTGTAACTTTTTTTTTTAAAAAACAACAAAACTGGTACATTACTGATATACCAAAAAATGTAGTTGTATTGTCAACTATACTTTAAGGTGTATGCTATGTAAAATCTGGATTCAGAATATTTTTTTTTGTCATTTGCTTGACCGCAATATTTTTTTCATCAAATTGGAGATCAGGAAAAAACCATAAACTCTCCCCCCCACCCCTTGAAGTAAAATGGTTGTTCCCTAACAGTTTAACTCCTATTTCTGTGTGCAATATTTCTATTAAAATCAGTTTTTTTTTTGTGCACATTAACAGTTCTCAGGTGTCTTACATTCTTAAGCATCTTACTTTATGAAAATATGCTCAATTATAGGTTCCACAATCAGAAATACAAAACTTAAGGCCCTCTTCTTCCAAGTAATGAACTGAATTTATAAATGAATGTGTACGACTGTACGGTCCAGCGAAAACTTAACATAGTGTCGGGCAACACACCTAGACTTCTCAAAAGCTATTTACATTTAAAACATTCACCAATTTACAAATAAAACTATATACAAGCTGTGTTGTTTACTTCCTTTCAGAGCAGCTCCGAATCTATCTTGTCGGCCAAGGTGGCTTTAGATGGAAGTTGATTCCAATCCCTGATGGTCTTTGGGAAGAATGACTGTCCATAGGTGTCACTTTTTGTTCTTTCTTGATAAAAGCGGCCTATATATATACCTCTGGTCCAGCTGTCGTTGGGGATTAGATATTGTTGTCTATCTATATCTATTAGCCCATGCTGGATTTTGAATGGCATACATAGTCTGTTGGTTTTCCTACATTCCTCTAGGCTTTCCCACTTTAATTGTTTTACCTTGTTTATTACACAGCCAGGTTTTCGATCTGTGTAGGTGTTATGGACAAATCTAGCTGCCCTTTTTTATACGCCCGTTTACAGGACCTATTATGGTATACCTCTGTCCGTCCGTCGTCAACATGTCGGACATTAACTCAAAAACACTTTGACCAATTTGCATAAAACTTTGGTGAATTGTTTATATCTATTGACGTGAGCTCCCTTTAGTTTTTTATAAATTTTAGATTTTACGTTTTCGAGTTATGCGGTTTTATTCATTAAAAAAGGGTGATTTTCCAGTTTTCGGACAATAACCCGAGAATGCTTTCACCAACTTGCAAGAAATTGTGGTGAATTGTTTATATCTATTGACATGAGCTCCCTTTCAATTTTTATATATTTTAGATTTTACGTTTCCGAGTTACAGGGTTTTATTCATAAAAAAAGGGGGATTTTCCAGTTTTCAGACAAAAAATCAAAAATGCTTTCAGCAGTTCTTATGAAACTTTGGTGAATTGTTTATATCTATTGATGTAAGCTAGCTCTGTTTAGAATTTTATAAATTTTACATTTTACATTTCTGAGTTGTGGGGTTTTATTTGTTAAAAAAGGGGGGATTTTCCAGTTTTCGGACAATAACTCAAAAATACTGTCGTTGGATAAATCCCTGAATGTTTTATTTCCTTTGCCTACAATGTTGTCAATGTGTCTATCCCAGGATAGGTTGTTGCTGATGGTTACGCCTAGGTATTTGCTGGCATCAAAATTGTCCATGAAGTTTGTATGAGGTATCTATATATTTCTTTGTTCTTCTGTGATATTCTTATTATTATGTATATTTTGACGTTGAAGCTCATTTGCCATTTATTCTCCCAATCTTCTAATGATGTTAGGTCTTTTTGCAAAAGGTCACCGTCTGCCTGGTTGTTGATCGTTCTAAAGAGAAGGCTATCATCTGCAAATAGTTTGGTTTCAGATGACGTTGATGCTTCTGGCATTTCATTTATGTAGGTCAGAAACAATAGTGGTCCAAGAACTGTGCCCTGGGGAACGCCAGATAGTACCTGGACTTGAGAGGAGACAGCTCCTTCTAATATTACACTCTGCATTCTGTTTTTGAGGAAAGAACGAATCCCATTTTGTAGCTTTAGGGTTGACTCCATAATATTCGAGTTTGTATAATAGGCGATGGTGTGGTACTTTGTTGAATGCCTTTGCAAAGTCAAGAAGGACGATGTCGACTTGATCCTTTTCCAGTTTTTTGCAATGTCATTCATGGTTATGATGAATTGTGATTCGAATGATCGTTTTTTGCAGAATCCATGCTGTGCATTAGTTAGGGTGTTATGTTTGTCAAAATGATCCATTATACTGCTGTGGATTATGTGTTCCCAGAGTTAGACCTTGCATGTGATGGAGATAAGTGACACAGGTCTGTAGTTTGAAGCTAAATGTCTTTCATCTTTCTAATCTTGAATAGGACTTGGGGTACCACGTTAGCATCTCTCCAATCTCGTGGGACTATTGCAGTATTAGTGTTGAGTGATGTTTGGTACAGTTCTGTAAAGAAAAGGAGCGAGTTAATTGGTCTGCTGCTGTTTTTAGTATAAAGGATGGAATTAAGTCTTGACTAGTAGCTTTGCGTGGTTTTAGGTTTTTTAGTAGTTTGTGTACTCCCTTGGTCAATGTTGGTGCTGATTTTGATATCATCCATGGTGGAATATATGGACTTTTTACTTTGTTAGAAAAGTTATTTAGGTTTTCCTTTGTATAGAAACTGACTGGAATTGTTCATTGAGTATCTCAGCTTTGCTCTTATTATCGCTTTGTAGGAATCCCAATCTGTTCTTTAATGGTGCTACTCCTGTCCATTCTTGACCGTTGCTCTTGATATATGACCAAAATTTGTTCAAGTTGTATTTATAATTGGTGCTTTCTTCTTCCATATATTTTTTGTTGGCTTGCCTGACTTCCCACTGTGCCTTTTGTTTGAGTCTCATATCTATCCATGTCTCTTTTCTTTTTTCATTTCCTGGCCTTTTTGTGGGCTTTTTGTTTTTTATTTATTTTCTTTCTTATGGTGTTGTTTATGCATGGATGTGTGTGTCTTCCCGATTTTCATAATGGAAGTGAAAATGCTTTGGGAAATACAGGTAAACATCATTCAACAGTTGCTTGGAAACATGCATAACTTCTCCATACTTTCTTACTATTTCCCTCATTCCAAAAACATGTACCCCCTATTCAACATGGCTGCAATAATGCCAAAATCAATAAATTGTGTGTTTCCTATAATTTTCACCTCTAAAAAAATTAGGTAGGGTCGGTATAGGTAAAACATTTTATTTTTTTTCTATCATGTTGACACAGGGTTGGCAAAAACCCGGGTTTTATGAGTATTGCCCAGTCCAGTGGGAAATACTGGGAAAACCCGGGTTTTACTGGGTTTTACCGGGTAATACTGGGTAATATGAAATACTGGTCTGAATTTTAAAGAGGATTCAGTGATTAATCACAAATGCAATAGTCACTAAAGTCGAATGAAGAATTCATTTTTTTTTTAAATAAATATAACTAATATTAAGAATTAACAAATCTATGTCAGTGTATGTAAGGAAAATTACTTTTAAACATTTTTTGTTTATTACTAAAAATGTTTACTAAGTTTGAGCATATGTTTATATACATCACTAATTAATTAGTAATTATTCAGATAATAATACAGATTTGTTTATATTACAATAATCAGCCTTTTGATTTCTATAAGTGTTCAAGGGGGAACCATTAGTGGTAGGCCAATGTTAATTGGTATTCAGTGGTATAAGCATAGGCACATCTCATTTCCATGGAGAATATTTGGCCCGCACCCTCAGTCATGGTCTATTGACTTTGAAACTTTTGCTTAGTTTACATGTATTAGTTTGTGATTAGATCAGTTAAAGTTAACTGCTAATGTTAAGTCAATGATATTTGGTATGCAAATTAAAATCTTTGTCTTAATATACTGGTCAAATAAATTGCAGGTAAGGGGGGGTCTAGGCTGAAATTTGAAAAAATAGGCAGGACAGGAGTTTTGAGTAAAAAAAAAAGGCAGGATGAGACACTTGCAAAAAAAAAGTCAGGATAAACTTTAAAAAAAAAAGGTAGGACCAAAAATAAAAAGGCAGGACAGAGATTACAACTAAAAAAAATGCAGGACAAAATTTTGCATCCTAGCCCCCCCCCCCATAAAAATCAAATGGTAGCTCCCTAATCAAATGGCAAAATCAAAAGCTCAAACACATCAAAAGAATGCATGGATAACAACTGTCATATTCCTGACTTGGTACAGACATTTTCTTATGTAGAAAATGGTGGATTAAACCTGGTTTTATAGCTAGCTAAACCTCTCACTTGTATGACAGTCACATCAAATTCCATTATAACTGACAACTATGTGTGAACAAAACAAACAGACATAATAGGTAAAAATGTCAAAAATAGGGGTACAGCAGTCAACATTGTGTTGTAATCTTAATCACTATAAAAACAAACAAATATGTAACAAAGAAGCACAAAAAGGCATAGAGACAAAGCACATTAGCGATAATGAACGACAAGAATACAAAAATTTACAATAGCACAATAACACAATGATGGGATGTGTAAGTACAGAGCCACGTAATATGTATCAAAGAAACACAAAAAGGCATATAGACAAAGCACATTAGCAAAATTGAAAGACAAGAATACAATAATTATCATAGAACAATAACACAATGACGGGATGTATATTACAGAGCAACGCCATATGTATCAAAGAAACACAAAAAGGCATATAGACAAAGCACATTAGGAAAAATGAAAGACAAGAATACAAAATCCTACTTCTCTTTCTCATTACACATTGTCTGCCACCATGGCTCGCTGCCATCATTTAGTAAACTGCTCAAAGGCATGTTGCGTCCTGGGCACAATTATGTATATCATTCGTCTATATAGGTCCACCATCATGACCATGATGTTCTTCAAAAAGGTTCATTGAATCGTAATTATCTGGAATCTATGTCGATCATTTAATTTTTGCGTCCATGTGATCAGATTTTGCATATTTGACAGCTAATACACGGCATGGTTGTCGACAAGCCTAGCTGTCTATTATGTTTTCTGATTTGTGCGGTTGGTCTGCAAATTGTCAAAAACTATCATATTTAGGTGTCAGACCACCAATTCACTCCCTCCAATTTAGAACGTATGTAAAAGTAGCCCTACTCGGACACAAAATAGTGCTTTTGATGTCACTGTTTACTGAAACTAACCATCAAATTTAAAATTCAAAGTAGTTGACCAGGTAGAGAGTGGTTTTTGTAGTAATGTCCACTCAAAATTTCAATCGACCAGTATTTGCCAGTAATTACCGGTATTTACCGCCAGCATGGTCAATAGTATTGACCGCTTTTTTGACAACCTTGCGTTTGAGAAATATTGAAATTGAAATGCTGACTGACCTATTTAACTTGGAAAATAGTTATGATGGTCACTTATGAGGTATACTTATTAACAGAATAGTGAAACATGAAGGCGATAAGCGGATTACCTGTAATCACAACTTATAACATCTGTTGATATTCTGGGGGGGGGGGGGGGGGGGGGGGGGGCAGGAGGATTTGTTTTGAATCGGTTATTTATTTTTGTAAACTAAGAGGACAGATTATCTATTTTCTGCACTATTGAAGCAAGATTTTTCATTTTCATTAAAGCAAGGGACTGATTATTTATTTTCACAACTATATTTATAATATTCGAAAACATACAATTTTTAAATTATTTGTTTATTATAAATAATACATGTATAGTCAAGTCATTATGTACCATTTAATCAGAATTAATTATTATCCTCTGCAGAAATGAATCTTCTGTATTCCCCAATGCATATACATGTATTGCATACATACACAGTATTAAAGTTTGGTTGTAACTAAGGCTCTTTTAAAAGTATTGGCAAACATGTTTCGGCGAGCGGAGCGAGGCAAACATTTTTTTGAAGGGTTTTTGAACCGCTGAAGGCCCAAGAAGCTATAGAAGAAATGATGCAAAATCATGCTTTTTGGGTGTTCCCCAGACCCTTTCTTAAACTGAAAATGCAAGTTCTGTTTTGATAATTTTTTGACAATATTTTGGTCTCAAAGCAAAATCATGTTATAGATTCAGTGTAAGACTTAAGTTTCTAGGGACAACATCAAAAGACAAATATGCATGATAAAGCAAAAATGTAATTCACATAGTTAAGTCTGTGGCTGCTGTGTTTTTTTAAACTCATGATCAAGTTAATAATAAAATTACTAAATTACAAAATGAATGCAACACTAACAGAATACAGAAGGGCAATCAATGAACAAAAGACAAATAAATAAGAAACATTGATCCCGAAAAATCAGGGGCTACGTCTGAGGGAGAACAGAACTTGCTTCTTGCAAGGCACTCACGGTGAACACAATTTGATATGGAGACAATCGTTTGGTTTTGAAATTTCCTACATGAGGCATTTGTCTCAATGTAGTTACGGCCCTGATTTAATAAAAGTGAGGTAAGTGTTCCTGAGACAATTAACCTCAAGTTAAATGAAACCAATTTTCTGACATTTCAAGTATATTTAAATAATATTTATACTTTTATTATTAAAAGATATGGGAAGTGTTTCCCGATTTTTTTTTTGGAAAAAAGATGAATTTATGAAGAATCTGGTGCCATCTCATACTTTCGATTAGACCTGCTGAGTTATTTATTTTCAATACATTGCAAGTCAGGTAATTTATTTTCAAACTACCACAGAACAAACCATTTATTTTTGTGGCTATGAAGGCTGAGTTATTTATTTTCAAAATCCTCCTGCCTCCCCCCCCCTCCCCCCCCCCCCCCCCCCCCCCCCCAGAATATCAAATGGTCGTCCCCTAAGCTTGTCAGAAACATGAAGACAGGTAGAATTATAATAGTATTTTCATGCGAAATTTTTTTTGTTACTTTCCAAATTTAAGTGACGAAATTGATTTGAAATACTTTCGACATTTCGAAAACGTTTTCGTAAATGACGAAACTGACGAGCGCTACCTTAATCACTGATCTGAATAGGTGTTTCGAGATATATGTACATGTACAGTTGAGTTCTAAGCTGAATTTAATCTGTAATTTTATTTGTAATGTCCTATTATATATAGCAGTTTAATGATTTTAAGTCTAAACAAATATTTATAAAGATGTACATGTAAAAGATCTAATTAGGGTTATAAATAAAAAAGTAATTTATTTACAGCACTTCAGACATGCCTAAAAAGAAACGTGCATCTATAGGAAGACAAAGGAAAAAACATAACACTAACAGTTCTAAGTCAAACACCAGTTCTTCAGATGTCAAAGTTCCAGGTGACATCATCATCTATGCCAGAAAATGCATATATATAAGAGAGAATGATGGTATGTACATTTTTCGTAAAGTGCCTAGAAAATCAACCTAACAATGTATACAGTAGTAGATCTGATTCTTACATACATGTACTTCCTCCCCTACAAGGGCTGGATCCTGTACTTTTAACTTCTACGGCAACACCGCCTTGCATTATGCAGTATATATATATTTAATATTTTAAATAAATGCAATCTTATTAAAATAAGTTCACATCACTTGCTCCTCGATTTTTTATATGTCGCTGTGTGTACACGGCAACATATAAAAAATCGAGGAGCAAGTGATGTGAACTTATTTTAATAAGATTGAAATAAATGTTAAGGATAAAAAAAAAATGGACAATTTTTTTTGTATGTCCAGTGGCAAATTACATAAATCTGGAGGTCATTGTAATGTGTGCAGTCTTCAAAGATGTTCCAGTCAAAAAATGACAAATCTGTAGACATATCTTTATTCATATGACATAAGGAAAAAGTAATTTACTAGTTTTCGTAAAGACTCATTGAACATGTGTTGAAATAGAAAATTTAATCAGAGCTTGCTGTCTATTAAAAAGCTTTGTTAACGATTTAAAAATGTATATAAATTGAAACATTTTGTACCATTTGCAATACTCGAAAATTCATATTGCTTAAATGAAAATGTACAATTTAATGATTTAATGATACGGGTTATGTTCTTCTCATATATTTTATGATGGTATGATACTAAACCCCTAACAGGAGGGATTGTGCTTCATTTTCATATGATGAAGACATATATTCTTTCGATCAGTTTAACTAAGGTCTGGAGCTGGCATGTCAGTAATTCTAGTAGTCCTTTGTTAATTTAAGTATCTTTGTCATTTTGCTTAATTTCTTCTATTACCTATTCTGACATCGGACTGGGACTTCTTTTAAACTGAGTTTTAGTGTGGGTATTGCTGTGTGTTTGTTTATTCTACATTGGCTAGAGGTCAATTAAAAAGGGAGGGTTGAGATCTCACGAAACATGTTTAACCCAGCAGAATTTTTGCGCCTGTCCCAAGTCTAGAGCCTCTTCCCTTTGTTAGTCTTGTATGTTTTTTTAATTTTAGTTCATTTATATGTGTTGGAATTTAGTGTGACGTCCATTTTCACTGAGCTAGTACACATTTTTGTTAAGGGGCCAGCTGAAGCCCACCTCCGGGTGCGGAATTTTCTCGCTGTTTTGAAGACACATTGGTAGCCTTGGGCTGTTTTCTGCTCTTTGGTCGGATTGTTGTCTCCTTGACACATTCCCCATTTCCATTCTCAATTTAAATGATGATCATTTATGTACAAAAAAAAAAAAATAAATATAGCCAAATTTTATGACAAAAAACCTTAATTAAAGTCTTTCAAAACTATACTATACTGATAGATAGACATTAACTTATTTATCAATTTGACTTTTGGCCAAGTACGCAAGATATATTACCAATTGTTACTTGTCAAAATATGAAATACACTTGTCCAAATTCTGTATTTCATTTTGCTTAAAAATTCTTAAGTGCCATTTATGGACATAAAATCATGCAAGTTTTAGCTTTCTTTTTTTTCTGGTATTTTGCCTTTATTAAACTTTTGATGTCGTCCCGAATGTATACATGTGAATAAGAGATGTTTAGTATATCAATGAGACAGCTACCCAACAACAAATGTTAACAACTGTAAGTTTCATGTATATCAAAAAGTACATTTTCTGTAAATTTTGTTCAGCATTTTTCTTCTATGTGTTCTTCAAAGAAGGAGGATGCATCTCAACGATCAGCATATGTCCAATTATTTATATGTTTTTAATATAGACTTTGTACATGTACCTTTGGATGTGCCATTGTACTTTATTTTTCATTACAGAACCTTTCTGGAGACTTCCCTGGTTAGATATTCAAAATGATACTGAATGCAAACAGAGGTGGGAAAGTGATGAAGTAGCAGATAGCGATGGGATTTTTGGTCATGAGTTTTATGTGATTTTGGACAAACCATACAAATATCACCATACTGTTAATTTGGAAGACTTTACTCGAAATCTTGTCAGTGGGGTAATTTACTCTAGATTGAAGACACAACTTGACAACAGTAAACATCCAGAATTTATGTACATGTCTACTTCTAGATACATTAGATATATCCAGTGCTATGACTCAGATAATCCAAAGGTAAAAATGAGTGTGACAATAATGCCAGATCTGAGAGCTGAAATTCATGTTCATGGACTGAAGCTAGATAGAAATCATAAAATTTGGAATGATTTACCCTTGATATGTCTTACAAAGAAAAGTCTTTGGACTTTGTTAGATTGGCTTAAAAAGTACAGAGTATGTGCTGGAAACTTTGACCCAGAGTTTCAAGATTTTTTCCCTATTGGTAGACGCTCAAAGGTTAATGGGAGCAATTATGTGGCATTTAGAGAAGATGATTACAGTGCAACAACTGGACACATTACATACCATGGCACCATCAGATCCACAAAGTGTTTGCTGCTAACAGACATTCTTAGATGCAAAGACTGTGCTGTGTATAGACGCACTTTGAAAAAGACTCTGGAAAGAGAAACCCACAAACCTCCTGTATCGCAAGTTAATTGGCTCAGGTCAAAGAAAGGGGAAGTACGCATGACAGAAGTAGAGAAACTGCAAAAACTGAAACAGTACAAGCAGTACACACATGAACTAGAGACCAAATGCAATCCTAATCCTAATGTCAAACAGTTTAACCAATCAATGGTAAACATTCATGTAGCTGGATCACAAGCAATAGCTCCACTTGCTGAAAACACTAAGAGACAACAACAGGACCAGCAGATATCTGATCAGCCATTACCAAAAAGACCAAGACAATGAATGAGGAATGACTAGGACTTTAATGCATGCATTACTTTATTTAGTATTGTCAAATATTCATTTAATTCACTTAAGTTTTTTCAAGCTAGCTTTATTACCAGTTCTTTACTATGAAGGTGGAAACTATCAATAAAAGTACTTATAGGTTGATAAGAAGCAGCTTTTAAAATACAATTAATTTTTCATATATACATGTATATATATATTCATGACATTACATAACATTAACAGGTTAAACATACATGACATATATTTATATGTGGCAAAAGGTAACTTATTGCAACAATGATAACCTAAATGAGATAATAAATACAATACAGTATGTACATTTTTGTAAATATTTTATTTCTAGTCATACCCTTGTATTTGTTCAAATTCATACTTGTGAACAATGATGAATTGAAATACCGCTATATAATGATAGAAACTGACAAATTTCAATCGTTGACTTGCTCTTTTTGTCTCCCCTTGACAGAGTCAAAAAGCAAGACATAGGTATGCTGTTTTCAGCATCGGCTGTATAAGCATTAGGACATCTCAATTCCATGGAGATTGTTTGGCCCTGCCCCTCAGTCGTGGTCTATAGACTTTGAAACTTTTGCTTAGTTTACATGTACTAGTTTGATTAGGTCAGTTATTGGGGAACCAGGCCACTAGTGGTTGGTCAATGATATTTGATATGCATATATATATGTATTAGCATTTGCACATCTAATTTCCATGGAAATTGTTTGGCCCTGAACCTTCAGTCATGGTTCATTGACTGTGAATATTTTGCATAACTTTCATGTTAAAGTATTGCTCTTTTAATTTCAATATTTGCATTTACTATCAAAATACCAAATAGGCGAGACATATCTCTGCTAACAGTTCATTGTAAATTTCAACCTAAATTTATTTTTTGAAAAGAATGCTAATTTCATAATTCCTTTGTGAAATCAATATATTCAGTACATTTAAATTAAAGCAAACTGTGTTTGTCAAAACCATAATTTTTGACCCGCCTTGAAGGAGTCAAAAAGCAAGACCTAGGTATGCTGTTTCCAACAGCATCAACAATGTATTAGTTTGTGATTAGGTCAGTTCATGAGTAACCACTAGTGGTAGGTTGATGATATTTGGTATGCAGTTGTATTACATGTAGCATTGGCACATCTCTTTATCATAGTGATTATTTACCCCGTCCCCTCAGTCATGGTCTATTGACTTTGAAACTTTTGTTTAGTTTACATGTTTTAGTTTGTGATTAGGTCATTCAGGGGAACCGCTAGTGGTAAGTCAATGATATATGGTCTATTCACTGAAACTTTTGCTTAGTTTACATGTAGTATTTTGTAATTAAGTCATTCAGGGGAACCGCTAGTGGTAAGTCAATGATATATGGCTTGTAGTTGTATTAGCATTGGCTCATCTCATTTCCATGGAGATTATTTCGCCCCACCCCCTCAGTCACGGTCTATTGAATTTGAAACTTTCGCTATGTTTACATGTATTAGTTTGTGATTAGGTCAGTTTAAGGGGAGCCACTTGTGATAAGTCAATGATATTGGTATGCAGTTGTATAAGCATTGACACATCTAATTTCCATGGAGATTGTTTGGCCCTGTACCTTTAGTCATCGTTCATTGACTGAATATTTTGTATAACTTTAAAAATAAGATGTGGTATGATTGCCAATGTGACAACTCTCCACAAGAGACCAAATGGCATAGAAATTAACAACTATTAGAATATTGTGAAATAGCAGAACATACAAGATGTCTGCACATTGATTTATAGTTACGAATGATGTCCTTGTACCGATGATAAAATTTAGTAAATGTTTTGACAAGTTTGTGATATTGAAAACTCTAGTGTAATAATTTTTCAGTAATACAGAGATTTCTTTCGTCAAAATCAAATACGTTGTTACAAACACGAGTGAATCGAACAAGTTGAGATATATAAACACCATAAGATGGTGCCAAGGGAATGTCACCATCTAACAATAGGAAATAAAAAATCAGTTTACATTTGTTCAAGTTTCAGGCGAGAATTCAGAGTAATTGAACAAGTAACATGTTTATAACTATAATGGAGTTATCACCAAATAAAAAGTAATTCATGGGTTCACATTTGTCTTGTCCTTCAGAACTTTGCGAAGAGGCTTGGGCGTGTTAGATGTAGTTGAGTCATTTCTTTCTTTTTTATCATATTGAGTCTTAGTCTGATGTGTGACTACATGTCCATGAATAGTTAAACACAAGGAAATTGTGCTTTCCAGTATGTATCCTGAGTATATATAAATGACATTGTAAGCGACATAGACTGTAATATAAAACTATATGCTGACGATACTTCCCTTTTCATAGTAGTTGAAGATGAATATGCAGCAGCGAGCAAACTTGATTCAGATATAGAGACTATCAACAATTGGTCAGTCCAATGGCTAGTAAACTTTAATGCAAAAAAGACTGAAGCTATGACAATTTCCAAGAAATCAGTAAAACCTCATCATCCACCTCTTTATATGAATGATAATATAATTTCAGAAGTAGAAAGCCATAATCACCTTGGTTTAATTTTTCATGAGGATGGTTCGTGGCATTCTCATGTCAATAAAATAATTGAAAAGATAACACTCAGATTAAATTTATTTCGTGCTTTAAAATTCAAATTGAAAAGAAAGTATTTACAAACTATATATTTAAGTTTTATCCGACCTTTATTTGAATATTCAGATATTATTTGGGTTAATATTCCAGACTATTTAAGTGATAAACTTGAAAATATGCAACTTGAAGCGGCTAGGATAGTTACTGGTGATACTTTAGTTATCATCCATAAATAAATTATACGACGAAACAGGATGGGAGTTACTATCAAAAAGACGTAAAAAACACAAAATTCTAAAATTTCATGAAATGTTTCACAATAAGACCCCTGATTATTTAAGCGATATTATCCCTCAACAATTGTTTAATATTCATAACTATGACACAAGACGAACGAATGACACGCAACATATAAAGTGTAGAACAGAAATCTTTTCTTCCTTCAGTTATTCCATCCTGGAATGCTATTACGGACGACATCAGATTAAGTCCATCAAAGTTTACACTTAAACGTCACCTTACTCAAAATGTAAGTAAAATACCAAATTATTATTTTTATGGACACAGGAAAGGACAAATACTTCATGCCAGACTTCGGATGGATTGTAGTAATCTAAACGAACATTTATTTTGATAAGAGAAATCTTTTAGAAAGTAAAAACTGTACTTGCGGTAGAATCGTGAGCAGTAAGCATTTTCTTCTCGTGTGTAATAATAACTCCCTTGTCCGAAAACGTACGATAGAAACAATTCCGTTCCCATACAATATAAAAACACTCCTATTTGGCCGCAATAACCTCAGTCAAGAGGAAAATCTACTCGTGTTTAAATAAGTGCAACACTTTTTAGTAGATTCAAAGCGATTTGGCACATAGCGTCTTTCATGCATGGTTTGGATCGTAATTGGGTGAGACAGTCTTGACAAAGTCCTGGAAACACACACCGCCGCCGGTACATATGTATAGGAAAGATCTGACGGAAAAAAATCAACTTTTTTATTTGCAGTTATTTCCCTTTATCTTTTTGACAGGGAGACGGATTAATATAAGGGAAACCTTCTTTCCGAATCCCTTAGTATTAATGTATCACTGTATTTATAGGTGTACCGTATGTCATATACATGATTTTTTAAAATAAAATATGTTTAAAGTAAAGATGTAGTTGACATGTCACAAACGTGACGAAAAATGGTTTAGAATTCCCTTACCAAGAGGAAATAAAATGCTCCGTAGGACCCAGCTTGATATGACCGCAGAGGTTGAACCCTGAACAGTTGAGGCAAGTATGGACACAACATTCAAGCTTCAGACAGCTATGCATTTGGATTGTGATTAAATATTTGAACACATCATAGGTTTCTTACACAGAATGAATGTCGTCTAAGAACTTAAAAATTTGAAATTGGACATTTACCTATTATTGTACAATATCCAAAATCTAAATGCATGGTAAGATTCAACATATCAAAAAACTCCAAGAACTCAATTTTTGAACCCTTTTCAACAACCAACTTGAAAACTGGGCCCAAAATCAAAAATCTAAATTCATGTTTAGATCAAGCATGTTTGAATACCCAAAGAATTCATTTTTTGTTAAAATCAATGTTAAAAGTTTAATTTTGATCCCTGTGAACCAATTTGAAAAAAAAACAGGCCCAAAATCAAAATCTAATTAACGGTTGGATTCAGCATATCAAAGAACTCCAAGAATTCATTTTTTGTTGAAATCAAACAAAGTTTAATTTTGGGCCCTTTTGACCTTAATCAGAGACATATATACACATGTGTATATATGTCTCTGCCTTAATGTAAACAATTTGAAAACGGTGCCCAACATTTAAATCTAAATACAAGGTTAGATTCGGCATATCAAAGAACCCCTGTAATTCAATTTTTGATAAAATCAAAGTTTAATTTCGAACCCTTTGGACCTCAATGTGGACCATTTTGAAAACAAGGACCAAAATCCAATTTAAATACACGGTACATATACGTAAGATTTAGCATATTAAAAACCCCAAGAATTCAAGACTTTGAATTAAACTCTATTGTAATTCGTAAGGGTTCCGCGGAACCTAGTGTCTCGCCTACTTTTGCTGTTAATCGCAGGCTCAACAAAAATGAGGAAAAAAATTAATAAAAATATCCCTCTCTATACTATCTTTTGATTGTAAGTAGCTTCTGTCCAAGTTTGGTAAAAATCCAGGATAGTTTATGAATCTAATAAATGTTTTAAAAACTTAAACTGCAGACTGTATGTAATGTTAACTGGAAGAAAAACTAAGTCCATTTATAAGTAAAATACGGAAAAAATGAAACAAAATTTTAACAAAATTTCCTTCTAGATACTAGCTTTTAATCATAAACAAGCTTCTGTCCAAGTTTGGTACAAATCCAGGATAGTTTAAGAAAGTTGTTAAAATTTTAAAAACTTTAACCACAGAGTGAATGTAATGTTAACTGGCAGAAAAACTAAGTCCATTTATAAGTAAAATACGGAAAAAATGGATTTTTTTTTTTTACAAAGTTTACTCCTGGATACTATCTTATGATCATAAACAAGCTCTTTTCCAAGTTTGGTAGAAATCCAGGACAGTTTAAGAAAGTTATTAAAATTTCAAAAACTTTAACCACAGAGTGAATGTAATGTTTCCTGGCAGAAAAACTAAGTCCATTTATAAGTAAAATACGGATAAAATGGATTTTTTTTTTACAAAATTTACTTTTGAATATTATCT